GTACAGGCAGCTTACCTTCCAACCGTCTACTATGGGCTTGAGTTTATAACTGACCACGCATCGTATGTGAAGCAGATTCAGGTCCACATTAACGACTGCCTCCAATTAGTGTTTTGAAAGCCTATGAGGTTGGCAAACAACATACTGCTAGCCGAGTTCAGAACGCCACCTGTTGCTATTCAGAGAAGGTACTTACAATGGAGGTAGTATAGTTGGTTCATCAATTACCAGTACTGTGACCAGCATCCATGGTTCGGGGAAATACGGCTATAGTGGATGGAGGAAGGCATGGTGCTACATCAGCAGACTTCAGATAAGGGTCTCACCTGTCGCCCGACAGTCTCAATTGGGAATGGCAAGACGATGATGGCTACATTCCACCGTGTGCTTTACATGGACCTCTGTACATCCTCGGATGTGGTAATGTACACAGACTAATCCAAGTGCTCTAATGGAGCTGGTGTAGCCAGGGCAGTCTTTGAAAGAGGGGCTTTGACCCGTGTTGACGGGTGCTCGATTCCTCCATCTTGGAGCATCATAGAATGCAAGTTGTTCGCTGTAGTTTGTACCCTACAGCATGCACACGATAGAGCAAAGAGATGCCCAGTTCATATATTCTTAGACTCTGTGCCAGCCCTCATCATGGTTGATAGCATGTTTTTGGATAGTGACTTGGTTGAGTTGTGGGAGGTAATGGTCCCTTTCTTGAATGAATTCTTTCACATCAGATTCGATTGGATACCCAGTCACGTGGGTATTCATAGCAACGACATGGTCAACCTGAAGACTAAGGCATGTGTTGGACGCCCCTTGTGCCCTCTGCTTTGGGAAGGGGTTAGCTTTGGGATTAGTCATGCGGCCATGGCTAGGAAACTGCCTAAGGAAGAGTGGGGAACCTGGCAGGCTAAGGAAGGGCACGAATATTATACCCAGGAACCAAAAGCACCCTGACACCTCCAAGGCCTGACCCGAATAGACTCCTATGTTCTGTTAAGGATCTACAGTGGGATGGGCATGGATGGCCATGACAGTTGTGAACGGAATGAAGGCAAACACCACTGGACTGAGTGCTCCCACTATGCTAGAGGATGCCCTGCTGATGAAGACCTGTATAAGGATTCAGCAGTCCCGAGATGGAAGTGTTGGTAGATAGATCATTGGTGGCCAGGCCTGGGAATCTCTTGCCATGTGGGAATTGTAAATAGGGAGCTGGTTGTAGCAGGTAACCCCTTTGACAGTACTTTAATAGTGGAAAGAAATGGGGGATGATGTTGATAGGAGATCCTACAACCTGCACCGAGTGCGAGAAGAGACACGACGGTAGTGGCTGCATCTTGTCAGGTGAGGTAACACTGCCAAAGAAGTGGTTCTTTTAACCTGACCAACGGCAGTGTGAGTATCCCTGTTGTGGTACCACCATTTCCGCTACAGCCACCAAGAGACGCACTACCTTCGCAGAGCACCTCGAGAAACGCCCCCGGTGCTTACGGATATGTCACGATCGATTTTGGCATTCTCAGCATTTGCAGTGGGACGTGCTGGACCTGGTAATGTAAACATCGGTGGTCTTGAGATGGGCTAAGATGAACGGATTGCTGAAGAAACCCTGCTGCCCCTTTTGTAGTTTGGTGTTGGCGGAAGAATATTTGGACCTTGCGTTGCATTACAAGAGGATGGAGGAAGGTAGGGACAGACTGTATATTTCCTTTGTTGAGTATGTAGACCAAATTGTATTGGGAGCGGAAAGGATAGGGGTAAGGGTAGGAGAGGGTGGTTGGGAAGTGAGGTGGGATGACATGTTTATCCGGAACAGCACTAGTCACTGCAAGCGCCTGTGAGCCCACTTAGGTAGTGATTTTTGGATTTATATTTGAGGGGAGTGGCTGCGAGATGGAATGGTCCGTGGTAGTGTATTCTAGATAGTTTATTTTATAGGGCATGGGGGAGACTGGTCGTATGCCAGTGTTGGTGGTACTAGTATAAATAAAATTAGATTGAATTCTAAGTACTGTTCCTACTTATTACTTTAACGAATATAAAACACCTTTATAATCTTTATCTTTATTGCAACTTTATTGTTACGCCAAGGAAAGCTCTTCACGAAAAAGAGTTAGAGAAAGCTTAGATAGGCATTCCTGATAGTAGACAAAGGTCTTGTACTATCGGTAACGTAGGCAGAAGCCTAGTGCTAGCGTAAGACTAAGAAAAGAAACAGAAGAAGAAGAGAAGTATCATTCCCCATCGCCAAGAACTAACTATCTAAGAAGGGATCATTACATTACAAAGCCTCATCTAGTACGATGCTAACCGATACAAGACGGCATCCTTCAACCCAGATAGGGAAGAAGATATAGACATCGACGATCAAAACCTTAACTTAGGAGAATTTAGTGATACCCTAGATCATGTTTAAGCAGAGCCCTCAAGGGCAGCAAGCCCAGTAACCCCAGAGAAGAAATCACCAGTCGATAGCTCTCCTGCAGGAACCCCACGACCTGAGAGAATGTCAGAATCAGCAGTACCTATGCCACCAGTCCTGGCCGCTCCGGCACCTGGCACTAGCATACTTGGAATGACTGAAAATCAGTTTCAGGCATTTCTGGCAGCAACACGAAACAGAGGACAAGGAAATATCCAATGACTGAAAGCAAAAGAACCCGACACATATGAAGGAGCTAAGGATAAACTATGAATATTCCTGGCACAATGCAAAGGGTATTTTGCCATCAAGGGATATAGAGACCACCACAATGAGATCAAGATTCCCTATGTGGAATCTCTACTCAGAGGACTCGGAGGACAATGGATCATGCCCTTCCAAGATAGAAGGAAGCAGAGGAAATGTGTTATGTACTAGGAATTCAAGGCAACACTCTTTGAACAATTCGGAAATCCCAATGCTAAGGAGACAGCAAGACAAAAGCTGGAGAAACTCCAACAGGAAAACAGACCTTTTCAGCATATTAGAACGAATGCCAACTATTGAAATATGAGGCAGAGTTTGATGATGCTATCCTCTATATCATCCTTCTAAGGAACTGTAGTGAGTGACTCCGAGAAGCATGAGAAATCTCCGACATGCGCAACATAACAGCAGAATGATTTGCAAGATGGGCAATTGATAAGAAAAGCAAACTAAATATGCTTTGAAACAACTTAGAAATCACTATAGCACACAGGGTAGCCCAATCATCCAGAAACGTAGATGGAACCTTCCGACCACAAATCACACGAAGCGAGAGCAGAACGTTACCACAAGGTGAACCAATGGAATTGGACAAAACAAGATCAGGACTAGCCTTGAACCTATCCAAGGAAGAATATACCAGGAGGATGAATAGAAAACTCTGCCTGAGATGTGGAAAGGCAGGACATCAGATAAGGGAATGTCAAAGCCGACCAGACAATGGATACTAAGGAACTAAGGCAGCTGGAAACAACAGTTTCCAATTCCAGAAGAAGACCAACATTCGCGAGATGATGACCTAGGTCATATCAGCGTAAAAAGACAAGGGTTCCCAGTAAATGGTGATCTGGGAGACCCAAGATGTAGACCTGGAAAGCCCATCAAGTCAGCAAACTACTATATGGCACTATACACACAAAGGAGAGAAGATGCTGGAGATCATATGATGATCAAGACAAAGATACACAACCAAAAGCACGAAGAAACAATGATATATGCAATGCTTGACTCAGGAGCGACCGAAGATTTCATCAATGAAGAAATTTACAACAAATACAGACTCCACTCCAAAAATGCGAAGAAAGTGAGACAAGTCTAACTAGCAGATAGAAAGCCAAGCGCAATGGGTCCTATAACCCATACAGCTACAGTACCTATAGACATTGACAGCCATAGGGAAACGGCAACTTTTCAGGTAGCAGATATCAAGAACCATGAGATAGTCCTAGGGATGCCATGGTTACGAAAACATAACCCAACAATCGATTGGAACAAGAACATGATGTCCTTCACTATCGAAATGTGTACAATAGGATGTCTCAACAGTTTACCGGTAGTCTACTCAACACCAATACGAGAAATGGAAGAAAAAACTTTGCATGCAAAGTTTGCCGAGATGCGATAAGATAAGAGAGTCTGGATATAAAAGCTGGACCAAGGGGCAAAGATGCCTACCAAGGGTTCCAAAGGAACAGCAGGACACAACCTGTATGCCAACAAAGAAACCAAGATACCTGCTAACGGGCAGGTAATGATAGCAACAGGAAGAGCCATCTGACTACCAGAAGGCACCTATGGGCAGATAGCATCCCGCAGTGGTCTAGCAGTTAAATATTGACTCATGACTATGGCAGGGGTCATCGACGCCCACTATACAAGTAAAATCATGGTAGTTTTGGCCAATCTGGCTCAAGAGGACTAAGAAGTCTGGAAAGGTAATCGCATCGCACAGTTGATCATCGAAAAAGTCAAGAAAGAGGATCTATACGAAGTAGATCAACTGGAAGAAACTACAAGGGGAGACAAGGAATTTGGAAGCACAGACCAAAACCAGCCTGATACAATAAAAAGAATCGAGATCAAGGAGATCACAGCACAAGCCTTTGGATGGTACTATCAAAGAAGAGATACAACAGGAATTCTCAAAAGGACGTACAAAGACGAAAAACCGGTCCTAGCGAAAATCAATATCAGCATAGAACTAGCTATCCAAGACAAGAAATACCAAAGCAAAAAAGGATAGAAAGAATTAATTCCAAAAGAATATCATCAATTCACAAACCTATTCCAAGAAGAAGAAGCTACGGGGCTACCACCACAAAGATCAGAAATCGACAACGAAATTCAGCAAGACAAAGATGAGAAAACGGGAAAAGCGAAAGAGATTCACTATAAGATGTTATACCTACTAGGAGAAGCAGAGCTCGAAGAACTTAGAAAGTACATCGAGCGAAACCTAAAGTGAGAATGGATCAGAGACTTCTTTGTATCAGGAGGATCCCCAATACTATTCGTCAAAAGAAAAGATAGAAAAATGAGACTCTGTATAGACTACAGAGCCCTCAATTCGGTTAGCAAAAATGATCAATATCCACTACCCTTAATCAGAGAGGTACTGGATAGACTGCGGTCGGCAAAATAGTTCACAAAACTCGACATCAAGGACGCATACCTCAATATACGTATCAAAGCAGGAGATGAATAGAAGACTACATTCGCCTCAAGATACGGGATATTCGAATACCTGGTTATGCCTTTCGGGCTAACCAATGCACTGGCTTCATTCCAACGATGGATCAACAAGGTACTCAATAAGTACCTCGACATATGTTGAATTATATGCTTATATGATGTACTCATCTACTTGGAAAATATACAACAATATCAGAAGGATGACAGCAATATTATGGCCGCAATACAAGGATCAGAAATGAAGATTAAACCAATAAAATGCAAATTCTATAAAGAAGAAACTCAATACCTCGGATTTATCATCAATGGGAGTGGGGTCAAGGTCAACCCAGTCAAAACAGCAGTAATATGGAATTAGGCCAAACCAAACAACAAAACAGATATTCAATGCTTTAAGGGATTCTGCAACTTTTATTAAAGGTTCATAGAAGGGTTTAGCAGGCTTGCAAAACCACTCTATAATATAACCAAGAAAGACAAGAAATGGGAATGGAGAAAAACAGAACAAAAAGCATATGATGCCATTCAGACACATCTGACATCAGCACCAATACAGATACACTTCGACCCAAACTGAAGGACAATGATTGAAACGGATGCCTCGAAATATGTGTGTTCAGGCATATCATCGCAACAATGTGAAGACAGAAAATAGAGGCCAGTATCTTATCAATCCAAGACAATAACCCCCACAGAGTGCAACTACCACGTTGCAAACAAAGAACTATTAGCAATAGTTCCAGCATTAAAGGAATGGAGAAGATACATTCTGAACAACGACCATCCAGTCTGAGTTCTAACTGACCACAAGAATCTGGTCCCGTTCATGACTACGAAAGAACTGAACGACCGCCAGATAAGGTGGATGGAACGCCTCAGCAAATACAACTTCAAAATCGAATACCGACTGGGCAAAGAGAGCGGAAAGCTAGATGCTCTCACAAGAATTGCAAGTGACAAACCACAAACAAAAGAAGACAAAAGGATCAAACAACAAACAAGAACACTATTACCAAAAAACTACTTCGAGGCAATAGAGGTTATCCAATTTACATCGACAGAAGAAAAGGAAATCAAGAAGGAAAACGAAGGAGACAAAACAATTGAGGCAATAAGAGGAGCATTGAAGGAAGGAAAAAAGGAGATGAAAGGAATCACTCTAGGTTTATGCTAAGGGGAGGATGGAAACATGTAGTACGATAGAAAACAATGGATTCCGGAAGAAGAAATGATAAGAACAGACATCATACAATAACACCACGATATCCGAACAGCAGGATACGGAGGAACGGCAAAAACCACAGAATTCATCACGAGCTTATTCTATTGGCCAGGACTGCGCAAAGATGTCAAAAAATATGTCAAGAATTGCGACATATGCCAAAGGATGAAAACGGCTAAACACGCACCTTATGGATTACTGAAATAGAACGAAGTTTCCGAACGACCATGGGAAATAATTACTATGGATTTCATCATAGACCTACCATTATCAGAGAAATGCGATAGTATCCTGATCATGGTAGATCGTCTGACCAAAATGAGTCATTTCATTCTGGTCAGAAAAGATATAGACATGAGGGATTTTATAAAGACATTCTTCCAAGAAGTCTTCTAACTTCACAGCCTTCCAAAGAATATCATTACCGACCGAGGAACATTGTTCACATCAGGACTGTGGAAAAAAGTAACCGAATAAATGGGGATACAAAACAGGCTGAGCACAGCATTGCACACACAAATGAATGGACAAACTGAATGAGTGAACGCAATACTCGAACAATATTTACAGGCCTACATCAATTACCAACAAGATGATTGGTACAAACTGCTATCAATGGCCGAATTCGTATACAACAATGTTAAACAAGAAACAATTAGCATGCCACCCTTCTTCGCGAATTACGGACAACATCCACAAAGTCAGGCCACATATCATACAATAGTATAATACTAGATAAAACGGACATGGGAAAACTACACGAGATATTACAATACAAAATGAGTCAAGCACAACAACGGCAAAAAGAACAATACAATACACACTGAAGACTGGATCCAAACATACAACTGGGTGATAATGTATGGCTAATACCACACAATATCCATATGACGTGACCATCAAAGAAATTAGACTACAAGAAATTCAGGCCATTGAAAATACTAGAAAGAGTGGGCAACCGAGCTTATAAACTCAACCTTCCCCCCTCAATGCGAATATACAACACATTCCATATCTAACTCCTCGAATTACACAATCACAATTAGTTGCTATCACAAAAGGTTATTCCTCCTCCTCCGATTGAACTCAACGGAGAACCAGAATAGGAACTCAACCAGATAGTCGATTCTCGCTTCACCTACAGAAATCTACAATACCGAGCCAAGTGGACCAGTTATTTACTAGAACACAATAAAACTTGTTACTTCGCACACAACTTCGAACATGTACAAGATACTATCTCTACCTTCCACCAGCAATACCCAGGCAAGCCTTGTCCAGGTAACAATCACATCCAACTAAGACAAAGGCGAGGGAAAGGCTCCCACACCATTGCAACCACACAAGGGCTGGAGTGATAGCCTCCACCAAAGCACACTAACCAGCCGCAAATACTGATTCATGGGGCTGACTGATGATGAACTCCGGAAAAGGAAAAAACAAGCACAGCATAATGCCATGTCATGGATAGTATGCTACGATGATGGATGTCCCATACACTATGGGGACAAGGAAGGCTCAGGGTGGTTCCCGAGAGAAGACAAAAAGTATGATCCGTGCCCGGACCATGCCCTAAAGCACTGGAAATAGTGCTTCAACAACATGTTCAAGATGCACAGGATAAAGAAAGTCACTGCGGGATACTACCCACAGAAGAATGAAACAAAGAAAGAGTTGGAAGAAAAGGATACCACAATATGGTAGAGGGCTAGGTCTTTGAGGATGAGTCCCAGGGAGGGGGGAGCCTAAAATTCATCTACAGAGATGGAACCGGATAATAGAAGTCAGCACAGGCAAATCCAAGGACTCTGAGAACAACTGGGCCTAACTGTTAGGAATACCGAGATCCGATACCTAGGAACCACCCTAGGTAGGGTAACCTCTCCTGAAATCAAAATCTCAGGTCTCCAACACCCCCCTCCGGGCCCCTTACGGGGCCCGCGCGTCATCTTACATATCAATCTAAGTTGCGTCCTGTGAGTATTATACCACAGAATCGAAGGTGTTAAAATAACACTGTATACGTCACCGCCGTCCGTCCGACCGGAACCTGTTCGCGGGATATATAAGAGGGTACCTTCGGCTAGGTCTAGGAAGTATAACGGAGTGAATCTGTCAACTACCCAGAAAGTTACTAGGCTTCAAGAACGAGATATCTTTGGCATAGGCCACAAGTAACGGGACGTTTTCGCACAAAGAGATGATGATGAATAGTAAAGGATCTTAATGAAAGACCAATACATTCACATCCACCCTACGATAACCAGAAGAGTCTGGAACTCCTGAGAATACTACCATCGAACCCAATGAAGTTCGAGAAGTGTTACAACTAGGTTCCGGTACATACTGCAACCGAGGGGGTGACTCCCAAACCAGTGACAGTAACCAGAATCCTATTACCCACGGTAACCAAGGGTTACCGACCGAGGGATTATCTACCAACCCTATAGAAAGACTTCCTGCAGGAAAGTAGGAAGTCCTCCGGAAAAGATCTATTGGTTAGGTATGAAGTTATGAAGAGTTGAAGTTAGATGACCTAGAAAGTTGGTAATAACAACTATCTTCGCAGATGCAACCCGCAGACGAAACTGATCATTTCATCGACAAGGGAGACGATTGGAGCCAACACAGTTCGACTTGAGAATTGGGCCATTTGTCTAAAAAGACTCTCACCATCGGATAATTACTATTGGAAATAGCATGACTTCCAAATAGTCATATTATAATTATCAAAGAGGGTGTGATGATTTTCAGGGTCTCCCGGTGTTCGCAGCTTGGAAGAAAACCCGACGTTGCAAGTTATATTGGAAAAAGGTAAATGGTTGTATGTTAGTTAGATGTAGCCCGCGAACACTCAGATGCGGAATATAAATATCGAAGTGCCTCCCAAGCTTTAGACATCATCAAGCAACGGACAAGAGACCTTAACAATATAATATTGTTCTTACCATTTTACTTTACTTTACCCTACTTTACTTCGCTCTTAGTAGTCATAAACGAAACGAGTGAAGTCCGAGCCTTCCTAGACAATCTCCGTCTATAAAAACGAATCTCGATCGGCCTAGACAACTCTGAAGTCTATCGAGTTGTCTCCGCCTAACACTAACTGAGGCCCAATTTTGGTAAATGATAAAACGATCACGGAGCTGAGGCAGCTGAACAATGCCCAGCGGAGCACGATCAAGATGGTAAACCTCACCTTGGAAATAGTGAGGATAAGATGGCGGAAATCAGATGACAAGCTCAATAGGTTCTGGAGATCCTCGCGTTCAGTAGGACGGGAACTATTGAAACTTGGGAATAAAGCCTGATGGGACTCAGGCTTAGGGGGAGAGGAACTAATGTCACAAATGTGGCTTGGCACGGAAAAGGTTTTCAAATGACTCATGATTATGAGTCATAGGTATGTTATTGTTTCACACATATGACTTATTTGGGTCATCTGACTTATTATGTTATGATTTATTATGTTTCGCACATGACTCGATTATGAGTCCTGGGATGTATGTCTGGTGAGTATGCCTTGTGAGTGTAGCTTGCGGGTATGCCTTGCGCATATGATTTATGTTTTGCACATGACCTCGTTATGAGGTCATGGGTCTCATGCATATGACTTAGTCGAGTCATATGACTTGTTTATTGCATTATGATTGGTTTATAAGTTTTCACACATGACCTTGCTATGAGGCCATGGGTTTTGAGCGTGTGACCACTTTGGTCACATGACTAGTTTGTTATGATTTGGTTTTGCACATGTGACTACTTTGGGTCACATGATTATAGGCAGGAAGAATACTATATAAGGAGGCCGATGCGGCCAAGGAGGATAGGTTCTTCATGCTTTATTCTAAG